CAGATTCTGAGGTAGATGAGACCCTAGAGATGGAGACACCTATGGGTAAATTGTGTGTAGCCCAAAGGATATTGAGCATCCAACCAAAGGGGAAACTTGAGCAACGAGAGGACCTCTTTCATATGAGGTGTGTGGTGGATGGGAAGACTCTTTCGATTGTGATTGATGGAGGGAGCTGCACCAATGTGGTTAGTGCAAGTTTTTTGAAGAAGTTGGGGTTGAAAACAACGATTCATTCAAAACTCTACACTCTTCAATGGCTCAATGAAGTTGGATCGATCAAGGTAGCCAAACAAGCCTTATTGAACTTCTCCATTGACAAATACAAGGATGAAGTAATGTGTGATGTGGTGCCAATGCAAGCGGCTCGTGTTCTGTTTGGGAGGCCGTGGCAATTTGATCAAAGTGCTCAACACGACGGCATCAGCAACAAATACACATTGAAGCACCAAGTTAAGAAGATTGTATTGAAGCCTCTATCTCCTCGAGAATTTTATGAAGATCAATTGGAAATGCAAAAAATGCGAGAGGAGGAGAAGAAGGCTCAATCTGCAAGAGGAGCAAAGAAGGATTTGAGTAGCTTGTAGTTCAAGGCATTAATGCTAACTCGACAGGGAGATATGAAGAAAGCTCTCTATGATCGAGTGCCTATGATTATCGTCTTATACAAGGGATTGCTACTCAGCCAAGAGCTGATTCAAGAGGTACCACCTAGGGCACTAGTTGTACTAGAAGAATTCGAGGATGTCTTTCCCGAAGAAGCACCAAAGGGATTACCTCCAATCTGCGGGATAGAGCATCAAATTGACTTTGTTCCTAGGGCTACCATTTCAAACAAGGCCTCCTATAGGACGAATCTAGAGGAGACAAAGGATTTGAAAAAACAAATTGATGAGCTTATAGAGAAAGGACATGTTCGTGAAAGCATGAGTCCTAGTGCGGGTCCTATCATCCTCGTGCCAAAGAAGGACCATACATCGAGGATATGTGTAGATTGCCGAGCAGTCATCCAAATAACCATTAAGTATCATCATCCTATCCCTCGATTAGATGACATGCTTGATGAGTTACATGGTTCAAGTATGTTCTCGAAAAGCGATCTAAGGTCTGGTTATCGCCAAATTCGCATGAAAGAAGGAGACAAGTGGAAGATAGCCTTCAAGATCAAACATGGTCTCTGTGAATGGATGGTGATGCCATTCAGCTTAACAAATGCCCCAAGCACGTTTATGAGGTTGATAAATCATGTCTTGAGAGCATTCATTGGGAAGTTCGAGGTGGTTTACTTTGATGACATTTTGATCTATTCAAAGAGCATGGAAGAGCACCATGAGCACTTGAGGGACGTGTTGACGACTTTGAGGAAGAAGCAACTCTATGACAGATCGAGTTTTATGATGTGACAAGTTAAAATTGAAATGGAATAAAATTCTTTTAGTAACCAAACGTGAATAGTTTAGCACTTCTAGTGACCCACTTGCAATTACCCTACGAAATAGTGCAAATAAAATAGAGATTGGAAACACAACAATCGTTACACAACACTTTAATTAATATAGATAAACCTTAAGTAAGGTTACTGTTGCATAAACAATAACATTTTGATACCCCAAATTTTTTTAAAAAATTAATAAAATATTGAACAATTATGTTTTGGTATCTAAATTTTATGAGATTTTTCATACCTACAATTTTTTAAATTTATATATTGGTCCAATATTTAGATTTCACTTGAATCCATGAATCCAATCCACCCATCATTTTCATCATCTACTTCCTCTTTGTTCCACTTTTCACTCGCCTTCTATAACCCTAATTAGTATATTATTTTTATCATCGCCTTCACCCTTCAGGCAGTTCAATCATTTTCATCATCGCCTTCAGGCAGTTAAATCAGGAGGGTCGGATTATGAGTTGGGTTGGATTGGGTTGGAGAAATCTGACATGCGGGTAAAATTGACATGACAAATCGAGTTTTATGACGTGACAAGTTAAAATTGAAATGGAATAAAATTCTTTTAGTAACCAAACGTGAATAGTTTAGCACTTCCAGTGACCCACTTGCAATTACCCTACGAAATAGTGCAAATAATATAGAGATTGGAACCACAACAATCGTTACACAACACTTTAATTAATTAATATAGATAAACCTTAAGTAAGGTTACTGTTGCATAAACAATAACATTTTGATACCCAAATTTTTTTAAATTACAACTTAGTCACTATAATATACATTTTACATTGTGATACCCCAAATATAATTTTAATGTAAAATTAATAAATTATTGAACAATTATGTTTTGGTAAATTTTATTAGATTTTCATACCTACGATTTTTTAAATTTATATATTGGTCCAATATTTAGATTTCACTTGAATCCATGAATCCAATCCACCAATCATTTTCATCATCTACTTCCTCTTTGTTCCACTTTTCACTCGCCTTCTATAACCCTAATTAATATATTATTTTTATGTATTCTAATAACAAGTATGAACGAGTCCATACACGACTCACCAACAGTCTAGAGAATTAATGATTGAACCATGAACCACTAGCTTTTTCAGCTCAAATTCGAGTCCAATTAAAAATAAATATATATGGTTATTTACTTATTAGAAAGTCGTCATTTTCCGCTACGGGATTTGAAGGCGTGAAATTTAAAGCAAGTTCCACTTTGTAATCCTTTTGCTTCTCTCTAGAGTTTTTCTTTTTCACCTGGGGTAGAATTTTTAACAATTATACGTGGAATGTTTGGCTAGATATTTACACATATCAAATAGATATTTTTCATTTTTCTATAAAAAAAAGTAAACAATTATCATCTTAAATACCTAAACTTAATAGATATTTAGATTTATAACCTAAATTTTTTTTTTACATATACAAGCCTCAGAATATTGATGGAACATTACATTTTAGTAGTGAAATTTTGTTGGTGCCTAAAATTTTAAAGTTCTACAAATAAGTCTAATTTTTGTATGTGTAATTAAAACACCCTCGAATAAATGGCTATCCATACCCAACCCATACACATTTAAATTATGAAAGTAAATATTCATACCCTACCCAAATCCATCTACAAACTTACAAACTCATATATAGGTCACTCATACCCTACCTATAATTAGGAATGGCAACAAAACCCGAACCCACGGGTACCCACTCGACCCAACTCGGTCAACGCGGGTAAAACCCGTGTTGACAGGTTTTGGGGCGGGTTTGGACTTAAACCCGTTCACTATTCACCGGGTTGGGTTAGGTAAATCCGCCCCATGGGTACCCGCCCACACCCATATAATTAATTTTTCCGGTATATTTAATATTCTAAACAACTAATCTTCTTTATGTTTGTGGAGACGTGTCTAATTTTTTCTTTCTAATTGTGTAGAATGAAGTTGATATTATCGAGTTGAGAGTGAAGAAGTTTAATTGACAAGGAGGAAAAAGCTTTCAATTAATCATGTTGTTTAAGGATAATTAGAGCTGGCAAATTACAACCCGACGCGTTGACCCGATCCGAACCCGCTCGAAAAGTAGAAGTTTTTATAACCCAAAATTCGAATGACCCAAACCCGATAACCCATGATTTTTTGGGTCGGGTTGGGTGGGTTAGCGAGTCGACCCGTTCATTTTTATATATCACTCCCAAAATGATAAAATCACTCATAAATTGGTGAGATGTTTAATAAAATTTACAAGGATTTGAATGGCATGTGGAGTTTAAGGATAATCAAATATCATATGTTTCTTATAGTAGTATTACTCATCTGATTGTTTTTTGACGATTTGTGCAATTTGTATTTCATTTCATTAGCATGGGAGGATTTGACAATATGTTAATTGACGTGTGTTAGGTAAACTATTCTCATACATATGTAAAAAAATAGTGTTCTTTAAGAAAATATGAAACATGTTTGATATTGTTTCTGAGAGCGCTCAAAACCCGAAACGACCTGTAACCCGACCCGGAACAGAATGGTTGGGTCAATATTTGACCTGAAATCAATCAACCCAACATGACCCGACCACTAACCGAAGGCCCTAACCCGAAATTACCCAACCCAACTCGATTGCCAGGTCTATGGATAATTTGTGATTTGCTTCAATTTTCTTGAGTTTTCTAGATTGGTGTTGAACAATTTGGATGGTTAATTTGTGATTTGCTTAAATTTTCTAGAATGGTGTTTTATATATAGATTTTTTGTATTGAGAGTTTGATATTTGACTTTTATTTTGATAAGAACTTGTTATTGTAAATTTTTTACGACAAAAACCCATGGGTACCCATGAACCCGCGAATACCCAGCGGGTTGGCTTTTTGAGTTTTTCAAACCCAGTGGATTTTACCTCGGGTTTTTTTCACGAATAAACCCATGAATATGGGTTTGGGTTTGGCAAAACCCGACCCATTGCCATCCCTACTTATAATCAATGGGTCTACTTGGGTTTAGGTTAATACCATTTATTAGCCAAATTTTTCAAAACAAATTAAATTGGATGTTGACTGTCATATTTCTCTTCTCAGTCAATATCATATTATAAAATCAATATTACTAACAAAACTGCTAACAAAACATTAATTTTAGACTAATAATACTAACAAAACACCATAACTGACCACACAATACATGCACATATGTCATCTCCATCCGCCACAAGACGCTCAGTCTGCGACAAGCGCGTCATCGCCACCTAGTTACATCCGAAAGTCATTTGGTATGTAAAACAAAAATGGGCCACCAACTACCAAATAAACACCAACGTTGAAGAGTACCCACGGTTTTTATTACAAAAATTGTGGTCCCTAAATCATCCACGGCTTGAATTCTAGTTCGCACCCAAAATGGTGTAAACAGTCTTAACTAGATGAAACGTTGATACACCTGCTGCCAAGAGCCCACCCAATTTTCAGAGCGGCAAATGGAACGTCTCGACTTCGCCGAAATGAAAGTCTCAACAGTTGTGAGTTACTCACGCTTCTCAAGATGACTCATCAAGCTTGTAAGAAAGGCTCGATGTCTAGTTCTAAGACAGAACACGGATCCGGGATGTCAAAATTTTTCAGCACCTACAGAACCAAGGATGGAAACACCATCAAACCAATCCCAGAAATGTCTACTGATAGCAGCCCATAGTAATCAGCAAAAGCACAGGATGATTTTGATCAGATCTAGCAAGAAGGTACCTGCGGATGCACGATACCAAACATGCCAATGTGCTTTCCTTTGTAAATGATGCTAGCTTGTCTAGCAGGAAGGAATTCATGTGCCTTCATCCAGGATATGTCATCACCAAGTTAATTAGATCAGACCTCACAAAGTAGTAGACAAAATCGCCTAGGAACTGCAGCTTAATGCTTAATGAAGAGTACTCACATGATCAGATCTCTGTATGTAGTACCCACTGGAGTCACCAATTGGTACAAATGGAGTTGCCATCACTTCCATCACTCTGTCTAGCAATGAATGAATCCTCTGCAAAACAATGCCTCAGCTAGCTTCAATCAACAGAAAGCTTCCAGGTTAAAACTAATGCACTGTAGTAAATCAGCCAGTCAAAAACTGTCCAAAACATATAACCTGAACATTCCAGCAGCTTCAACGAACAGTAATACATCATTGCTTTTGTTAGTGATACATTCGTTTGTATCAACCATCACAGAAAAACTCACAAGGTAATAACTTCATTTCATAACACAGATGATCAAGACATTAGTTACCTCAAATCCTGAATTAGTACCACAATACAGAGCTGTAAGACGCCGAACATTTGTTGCGCCAACATCTTTAGTACCATCCAGCCGTACCGTATCACTCACTTCAAAAAGCTGAAGCCACCATGAATCACTGTCAGCTAAACTAGGCTATCTGACTTACCATGTTGCATAAATGATGAATGTAAGTATTCTTCTTCACAATACCGTTGGATGTCCAAGTCCTTGCAGACAATTACAGTGGACATTAAGTTAATTTGCAAAGCAGAGTGCAATATAAAGGTACCTTAATGGGTTTGGACTTGTTTTTGTTTTTTCCGATAGTTTTTAGTCCTCCAAGCATGAGGGTGGTTCGGACAACCTATCAAATTAAACAGAAACACCATACTCAGAGTCAGTATGTCAACCAACACATTTGGAAAATAATTTTAAGATCTAACAACCTTAGAGATGGATCAACTGAGCAGACAGAAAACATTAATGAGAAAAAAAATATGTGAAAGCTTATCAATAAGACACAAAACACTTCACGTGAAAAGTTCATCAAATCGAAGTTGGAAATGTATATCCAACTATGGAAGAAGTCTAAGCAAGAACTCAACAGCTGAACAGAAAGAGTGCTGCTTTATACATGCATATTTGTAAGCTCCTTGAGACCTTAACATAGAGAACATTAAGACAAACCACCTAGAGTCTAAAATCAAGGGAAAAGAAAAGAGCAGAGAGTAATCAAGCTGGAGGTGAATACAAACCTCAAAATCAGCGGAACGGGGATTGGCAATAATAACTGCTGTCGATTCATCATCAGTCCGGTTTAACATGGCAAAATTCTCTTGGGAAGAACATAAAATCCATGACTTGATCTCTGTGAATCCGTTCATTGCAACCTAAGAGGCAATATACTGTATGTCAGAAAAACTTTCATCCAAATAGAGAAGGGGAAGGAGTTGGTGGGGGAGAAAATAAACAAACAGATTCAGTATGCAGAATGATGTGTAAATAAGCACATGAAAAAATTAAGTACCTCCAATCTGAGAAGATCCTCAAGCTCAATCAAGGACACCACCTCGGAAGATGGAAACTTTGTCTTGGGTATGTTATTATAACCATAAGCAATTGCAACATCCTTGAAAAGAAGATAAAGCTAGTGCTCAGCAGAAGGGAGTAAGATAATTCATTGGTTCTATAAAAATACACACCACAATAGTTGTACTTACTTCCATAACATCACAGGGGTGAAGGACATCACTTCTGGTAGGCGGTACTGATACTTTGATATTTTGTTCACCACCAGGTGCGCCTTTCTCAGCACGCAACTGCATCCGATTTAACAGGCTAGCAACCTGATGGCAAAGAGGGGCCACTATGACTTTCCATTTAGGAGTTCAATACTTTAGCACCAACGAAGAAATATATCCTCGGAAAATGCAATGCCAAAGAGCATGACCCTTTTGTGTGACAAACAGCTTAGATTTTTAACTAAAATGTGTTGGCTGTTTGCACTGCAACTATTCTACATTAGTCTCCTTTCAGAGCTCCAAATTCCTAAAATGAACCCTCCATTAAGACGAAATTAAATTCTAAAACAGTGGATATAAAATTCTCCCACGACGGTCTTGTCTAAAGATGCCGCCAGAATAGATTTAGCTAATAGTCATTGCTCAAGTAACTTTCATGTTTGACTTTTTTATAACAATGTACTTCGTTTATTTCAATTTCAAAAAGAAAAAAACCACCAAAAATCACTGAAGAGTCCATGTGGCCATTAAAACTGCATACCTCGTCTGCCTTCAAAGAGACTCCAATTGAGCGACTGATGTATGAAAGAGGAACTTCCATACTGTATTCAGATAATTCAGGGGATATTAATGACTTCCCACCATCATATACTACTTCAACTGGTTCAACTTCATACTTATTCCGACAATACAATGAAAAAGCTGTCACCTGATCACAAAGGGATAAATGACATTCATCAAGCATCAGTTTGCTACATTTGAAACAAACCCCAAGGAAGAAAATGCAACCAGAACTAAGATGCCAAACCATTGTGTTCAAAACAATCTTGGCCTTTGTCAGATCAGTGGCTGTACATTCTATGAATACATTCTTCGTCTTTAAAGTGATAGACGAATGTGCACCATTAATGATGGGAGGCAGAGACAAGACAGTTCTGCATAAAGAACTCTGAATTAAATCAATGGGAAAGAAATAGCATTGTTAGGTGATATAAGATACATATGCAAGCAACCAATGAGGAGCCTAAGTATTTTATACAAGCAATTGCATGAAGAGATGAAGAGGATAACTGACACACACAATATACATTATCCACCCAGGCACTCATGGGTGATATTTCATCAAATCAACAACTTAATGGCTATGCTTCCACTAAGTTAATGTTATCAAAGGAAACAGGGATTTACCTTCTACAATCGTATATGACTGGGTATACAGGAGAGTTCTCAATGATATGCAGAAACTTCTTCAGCTTCAAATCAGACTGCAAAGATATTCTCCATATCAGGGCATGCAGTTAGACTCAAAGGAAAGAGACAATACCTCTTCAGTCTTGTGATATCCCATAATGTGGTCTAATTAAAATTGAAATGCTTCAGTTTCCAAATCACCTTGTAAACCTCCATCAGTTCATCAGCTCTGAAGTTTTTCTCCTGAAGTCAATAGAACTGAATAAGCACAATTATAATGGAAGAGATAACAAATCGAAACTTAAAGGATAGCTACACACAGCAGAAGAAGCATACAATCAGAGATGGTAACGAAACAAATTAAAATTAACTTATTAATAGTTATTTGTAGGACAAGGTGGGAGACTACGATTTCATCATATATGAACCTGGTTCTGAAGCAGACTAAGCTTCTCAGGGGACGGATGATAACAAAGGCAAGGCACTACAAACTATAAGCCTGTACAACTTCAGCAAGTTGGCAACAGCGACAATAGGAGTTCAAAAGAAGAATAGTAGCACTGAGGCTAGAATGTTCAAACCTTCTAATCATCAATCATTGATTGATTAATTGCATAGTAGCATAATTTACTCTAAATTAACATCAGATAAATTCCTAAAAGCTCACCTGTTTCAGTGGTACAAAGTTTATCTTTTCTGGTGGGAGGGCCTGGAAACAAAGAAATGCTTCCAATCAGCATCATCACATAACATAATAGGCATGGATCACAAAATCAGGACCATCACCAAGCTTTGCCAGCCATAGATTTTAGTTGATCCATAGACTGATTCATATTGACTAAATAAAAAGTCAAAATGGACTGCTTTAATTTAATACATGACTTGAAAATTCCATACTTCTAGCTACTAAAATTTATTCAAGCCACACAAATATAACAATTCCATTCAGAAACTAACTACTGCAAACAAACCTCATAAGTGAATGGGCCTTGAAGTGTGTCCAGGTCATGGGTACCAATTGCGACGAGAGTTCTTCGCCTAAACATGTGGTCCATTTCTAAATGAGACAAGGTCAAATAAAGGAAGACCACACAAGTTTACTCATGATAATACCTGCATATGTTCTCATGAAGCTTGTCCTGAAGTTCAATGAAGCTGTTATAACTGGCTTCATCGAAATTGATATCCCTCAAAACAGCACAAACAACATACGGCCGAATTTTGGACGTCTATAGCAGGGATAAAGTGCACACACATTAGTGGATGATAAAATTGGACACTAAAAGCTCATGCATTGCCTTTCTCAAGAAAATGTAAACCAAAAAAAGGTACAAGCAACCAAAAACTACCTCCTTGTGTACATGAATCTTCAGCATTGATTCCTTGCTAATGCTTGCTAGGGTGTATGCAGGAGTTCCTTCCTTCCCGTTGAAAACCCGGAGGGCTTGAGCAAGCCCCTCTAGACAAAGTAGATCATACCTAGCATCATTTGAAAAAAAACGAATGTCAACAACATTGTTTATCCACGATACTTCAACAATAGGACGTGGAAAAGCTGTATAGATAAGGTGGGATAAACTTGTAAGAGTTCTTGTAAGTTACATATATCACATTGTCTGTGGGTTAGAAATAATTAATGAGGTTTGCCAAAACCAACTACCTATCAACAACATCAGGAGATAATCTTGGAAAACAAATGCACATCAAAGAACATCAGGAGGGAATAAGAAAAGGTCTGGCACTCCAAAAGACCAATACTGAAAAGGCACCACTGTGGCATTTGTAATCAACATACGTAGACCAGATAGCTACAGTAAATCAAACTTCCCCACAGATACTAAAGTGAGAGCCAGACAGCATGTCCTACTAAATTTAAAGGGGCAGTCAAAAACACTATATAACTTTGGAACTCCCTAGATACTACCATTCTGAGAAACCAAATGATGTGATCATGGCCACCCCTCATGACCTTATTCGAGTTCAATTTATATCTCTACATGGACCACGGGTCAAGAGACAAAAGAGAAGGTTTAATTGAGAGCTTAGGAGCATTCAAGATGGGTGGAAATGGCTATACAAGCAAGGTCGACGTGTTTATTGGTGCTGAATTTCAGAATTGGGAATTTCCTACAACAATCCCTATCCAACAAGTATTTGGAAGAGATGCTTAAATGCTGTCCATGTTGGTTAAGGAGTCTTTTATTATATTGCTTTATTTATTTTTTCAAGTATAAGTGTTATCTATTTCCTAGTATATAGTGATTACATTTCAGTTTCGTAGGTGTAGAAAAGTTAGCCTCTTTACAAATAGAAGGATTGTAGTTCAGTTTCATGCCTTCAGTATTCAGATTTCAATATGAGTTTTCAAGAGTTGCAAGAGATATTTCCTTGTGATTTCTTAGGCTTATCAATCCCTTGGTTGTGGCGCCTAGCCCCTAACCTTATTCTTCCTTCATCTAACCTACCCAAAACCCTAAATTTCTCAATTCCGTGCAATTTCTAGCAACCCAAGCTATTTTATTCTCGTTCAGAGCATTCTAGGAACATCACCAAAAGGTATATTCAAGGAAGCAAAAGTGATCAGAAAGCTACAGAGCGAGCACCTGTTAGCAGGGACCTCAATTTTATAGATAACTTCCTCGTCATCATCTGCTTCTTCTTCCAAATGACACTCCTTTCTCATAATGGCCTTCTCAGTAGTCTGATGCAAGTCATAGAATTTTGACGTTACGAATCATCATTATGGATTTTGTTTATTGAATTAAAAAATGAGTGAAGCGTCAAATAAATCCAGAATCAACCGAACGCTGACCACATCGTCGAGCTCAATTCCAAAGTTGAAGCAAAGCTCCTCGAACTTCTCTTGAGCTATATTCCAATTTCCAAACAAAAAGAAAGAGAGAAAATATGCTTTAGGTACCGTTGTCATGGTAAATTAATATACTTGGGAAGGAAACGAGAACTCACTGTAAGTTTGCCCTAAGGCAGCGAAGAGACAGTCCCTTCCCACGCTCACTGTAGGCATTGCGGCTGTGTTTCCAGTAAGAGATCGAACTAGCGGCCGCTGCAGAGATGCACAAGCCTTGGCGGCCGGAGATGCAAATAAAGGTGGGGCAGGACAGGAGAGGAGTTAGAGCAGAGCTTGAGGGAGTAAGCTTTTCAGTTCTGTGTTAGAGAGAATAGCATCAGACAACATAAAAAGAAAGTGAAATCAAAAGAAGCAATTAAATACAGTCGATAGACGATGAAGAGCAACCTCGGCTGTAAAAATATCCAGGGTTTCAGTTCAGGGGTCACAAGGGGAGGCTGCGGACTATCCCTGCAATAGATGAGTGATGAGGTATCATATTAGGTCTTGCGTGGAGACCAGCATTGTAGATGGGCCGTGAAGAAACTGGGCTTTAAGCCCTTCAGCCTTGAGATGGAGAATAGCACGGTTGCAATCGCTCTACCTGGATATCGGGCAGGGCCGCCCAAGTGCTGGCCCAGCACGGCATGCTTAGGACACGTTACGCGCGCACGAGCCTGGAGGACGATTATGATAGGGTACGAGCACGAGCACGAGCACAAATACTCTACGGTTCGTGCAGTCTATAAATTGGTTGTATTTGGATCGTCATTTGTGAAAACCATACTACAGTGCTACTATTAAAGGTGGAAAAACAGGTGGATGGGTTGTGTCTTATTCTATGAAGGTGACGATTGTTACTACGGTTCACTCTTCTTCAAACACTGTTCAAACGAGAGTATTTGATGCATATAAAGGAACCTACTTTACTGTTCACGACAAGAGCTTGCCCAATTTCCAACTCCTACTCGGCCAAGGAACCAAATTGTAGACCAAGGAGAAAGCAGAAAACAACTTAGTTAATTTAATTTTCTTTTTAAATAGCCAATCATAAGTTGCTTTTAATATATTTTATTCACTTATAAAGAATTTTTTTTTACATTGGACACATCTTCTTAAATCTTATCCCACCAATAAATTAAAATTCATTTCTATCAGGACTCTCAATTCTTCTTATATAAATTTAAGCTCCCATCCAGCTGGGATGGTGTGCTTTTACTTGAGTTACGCCATCCAAAAGCCAACTTGGATGGCTTGTTCACCACTTTATTTATTTTATTATTATATTCTATAATTTTATGGCAAGATTTAAGAAGTACCACTACTCACCATAGCCCTTAGGAGTAACTAAGGATCCAAAGACACACTCATTTCCAACTCTATTGATCAAACCATACAAGTTATCCATGTATCATGTGACTTCCTCATTTCAAAGGATATGTACACAATGAAGTGACATTATCTATCTTAATGTTAGGTTGCATGTTCCCAGTATGATTTTTGACACTCTTGCTTGTGGCCTCCTGCTTATATGCTCGAGTTACCCCAACCAACTCATATTATTGTTGACATCAATTTTTTTGGTTGTGAGTTTCTCTATGAGGCACACCGTGCATTCCCAATTAATTTTGATTAGAAGGAAAACAACAAGCACCTCTTTGCTTTGGTTTCTCCCAAACTACTTTAAGTTCTACTCTTCACATTACTTCGAGGGGATGGGTACTTAGACTTTACAAGTCCACTTCCACCTAGGGCACCAAATGAGCCAACTGCTCACGAGCAACTCGACATTCAAGTCGGAAAAAAATCATTTGACACTCGACTTGTTAGTAATCGAGCACAGCTTGAGCTAGACCATGCTCAGATTGATAAGCTCACGAGCTAGCCTGACTCGATGGCTTGTTGAGCAAAAATCGCGAGCTGACTTGTTTAGAGCTTGTGAAAGGATTAATTACTCTTCTAAACATGAATGTCATCTTGTTAATATGGATGTGTGTGGAAGTTGGTTGTTATTTTTAGTTTCTAGTGTTCTTTTTATCATTTAAATTATTATGTTTATACATTTTTTTAACAAGAATGATTTCAAACCGAGCTCATCTCTTGTACTTAGCTTGGCAAGTTGTGTTAATGAGCATTTATCGAGATCGAGCTAGATTATTTTGATTCAAGCAGAGTTCGAGCCGAGCTTGTTTGCAGCCCTACTTCCACCTACATGGTTAACTTGTCTTTGTTTCCATGCCCCAAAAATGTTGTTCACTCTTGCACTTAGCACACAACCACCTTTAGTCATTTGTTTTACCTTTTTTTTTCATATTGAGGCTTCTTGTGCATGCCACCATGTCCACCATTTTTGCAATTCATGAGTGGCTTCAACATGTTGCATATTGCTTGACATAACTCCTAATCCAACTTTTGTGGTTGGTGAGATGCCCCTAGTCTATTCTTTGTCATGCTTTTACCTACTCCACCCATGTGTAGGTTGAACTTTTTGCAAGTTTTCTGACATGCCATCCCCCCCAATCCATATTTGTTGGTTGGTGACATGCCCCATATCCAAACTTCGGGACACTAATTTGCCCTCTTGTTGGAGACTTTGACAATTTGTTCAGTAAAGAATCACATAAAGGTGTACCAACCTTTTATGCTTTTGATTTTGGCATGTGGTCACACACACTTCTTCGCAATGGCTTATTTAAGCAATCTTCAGTTTTTGTTCCTTCACTAGAAATTGTGTTTGCTGGAAATGAAATATTTGCATTGCTTGCTTCTAGCAACATTGTTGAAGCCAAAGTAGGGGGTGCGTCTTTATTTACATTATCTAACTCGCTACCAATTTCATTATTGGCATATGTAGGCTGTTTGACGTTTTTATCAGTCAAGCATGACAAGTTGGATTGACCACTACTTTGACCATGTCATTGTGGACTGTCTGTCAAAATGGTCAGATCCCAAAGTTCTCATCAACCAATTGTGGTTGACTGCCTAAACCACGAACTTGGTCACTGCTTACCGTTCCAGTTTTTTCATTCACCAAATCTTTGCCTCTTAACAACAAGATACTTTTTGGTACAATGGATGCATCATGCATAATTTCATTCTTTGACATCTCAAAATCATAAACATATCTATCAATCATCATATCACAGGCTTATCTCTTTTTTCAAGATTATCAAAATGCTTATGTAAGTGAAGATGATTTGATCCTTTTTTTTTTCTTTTCAATGTTGGATTTTTTTAAGAAATATAAGTTATAGGGAAAAAGGATAGAATCACACCAAGAAATTGGAAATTTAACAGTGTTCTTAAATTAATTTATGTTTTATTAATAATGATGTATTTAAAGTGAAAGCGAAAAGGAACACTAATTAGAATTAGAAGAGCACACATTTGTAAAAAAAAAATTAGAATAGTCTAGTGGATGGTTGAGATAATGATGTATTTAAAGTGGAAGAAAAATAGAACACTAATTAGAATAAAGGAGCCCACATTTTAAAAGAAAATAATTAGAAGAGTCCACCGTGTATGATGGAGAGTTAGCCATGTGCTTATGTGACACTAATTTTATTTTGAATTTTTATAATATTAAGTAAAGTTTAGGATTCATCTTTAGTATATTTAGCTATATATTAGGAAAAATAACAACCATGTGATCTTTGTGCTTATAAAGACCTAGGATGTGTTTTAGTATTATTTTATGTCTTTTTGGTATTATTGTGTGTTTCACAACGCCAAACACACTTTAGAATGATTTGGATAAGCAATTGGATCAAGTTGAATGATTAATAAGGACAATTTCTAGAAAATCAAGGATGATTCGTCCATTGAACGAAGCCAAACGGTGGGGAAGTCTTCATGAAGTCATCATATAAGCCCAAGAGGAATTTATTGGAGAAAATTTCAGCGCATGCTTACATAGAAAGTTTTTGGCGACCTTCTGATTGTGCCAACTGCCGCTGGGCCAACCACATTAAGTCGTGTTGAAAATCCATGGGAAGGTTATTTATGGGCCAAGAAAGCTAAATCCGGAGGAAAACCTACGACGACCCCGGTCGCCGCTCGACCTCCGCAAGCTTAAGCCAATGATTGCTACGAGAATATTCCTTTCTTCGTGCCCAAGACAAGAAATTTGAATCCCATGAGTACCTGGACACCTTTGGCCGGGTTTTAGGAGGAAAAGACCTATTAACCCCTTCGTCCTTCACTATAAATAGAGGGTTAAGTTCTAGGATTAAGGATTCTGTAAAACTTTACTCAAATCACTTTATATAACTCGAGCAAAGAGCCACTTGGCTCGAGGAATGCTGAATTAGCATTCATACAAAGGTGCAGCTAAGGAGATGCATTCACCATTGATGGTGGTACCATCATTCTCTCTTAGTTATTGTTAGTTCAAAATTGTTATTAAGGATGTGAATTCTATTCATGCTTTATGCATCTTTTTCTATGATATAATGAGATTCTTTGGCCATTATTTATCTACGTTATTCAAATGCTTATACCACTGGATGCCTTAGTCATGATACCATTAGATGCCTTTGTAATGTGATGCTTATGTTATTTGAATACTTTAGCTTTGTGATGCCCTAACCATGCGATGTCATCATTATCTATTATATGCTACTATAGTTTTGTTTTTAACACAATGATAAGCTGTCAAGAAACTACTCTTATGTGATGTGTCATTCTCTTAGGTGTGTATGAAATGAACAACCATCCATGCATGACTGAGAACAATGCTTGGTACCTTAGATCATCAATGTTATAGACTACATAGAGGCCATAAATAGTTAATGTATTATCCATACTTCCTGGTTTTATTGATTAGTCTAATGGTATGAAGCGAATGCACATATTAACTATTCATAATTCCTTTTGCACGTGGCGAAAGCTTGGTTAGGATGGCCTAAGTAGAAGAGGTAGGGTTACACGATAGAAGATGCATCGATGCTTATAATTGTTCAGATTGAGATGTATGATCATTTATGATGAACTTGATGATGCATCTCGAAAATCACTAAAAACATGGAACATCAACCCATTGATTTTTGTTGAGTCTTTGTTTGAGCATTAGATGATTGGGTTTTTTGTAGTTACTACTAGAAAACCTTATGGAATATGACCCTAGACATATCTAGGAATTTTATTACTTCGATTGTATGTCACTTGTGCACAATGCA